TTATCTTCTTTCATTAAAGCACAACCAATTTTAAAACGTACATTATCATCATCAGGATCTAATTTAATATTTGTTGAATGTACCCATGTATTTGTACATATATGTTGTAAACGTACATATGAACCCCATGGTACAGGATCTTCATTACGTGTTATTGTTGTTGGATCAAGTTCAAATAAAGATGATATATCATATGCATGTGGAATAGGTATAAGTGCAAAAACAGGTGTAGTTGATGAACCACGTAATTTTTGTCGTGTTACATCAAATGTTTGATCATTATCAACTTCAGCAGCAAGATATTGTCCTGTAGCTAAATGTTTAAAACGAAATAATGAACTCCAATGACCAGTGCCACCACGACATGGATCTTGTTGAACAACTTCAATTTCCCATAAAGCATTCGATGATGTTGCTGATGTTGCTGATGCACGACCAGTTGCACGTAAAAAGACAACACTTTTTTTTCGATAATTATCACAGGTTAAAAATTTTTCTTGTTCAGCATGAAATAAACGTACAATATCACCCTGAATTTTAGAAAGAAAAAAAAACAATAAATAAATTAGTAAATTTTTTTTCTAATTGAATTTCTTTCGTACACTTTTTAATACTTCATTTGTTGCTTCATAACATGATACAAATAAAACAATTTTCCAACTTGTTTGAAGATGAGAATTGACCTATTTATAAACAAAAAAAAAAAACAATATAAAATTATGTTATGAAGTACAAAAAAAAAACAAAATTAGATATCATGCATGATAAATAATAAAATTATGCATTATTTTGTTGGCTTTCAAAGCTAATCATTTGCTTTCTAAGTAGATCTTCAAATGAGAGAAGTTTTTTTTTCTTTCTATCTAACATAAACTCGAATATGAAAAATGACTTAAGCTCATCTGGGGAAAATCGCGATTTTCGTCAAAAAAAATTGATTTTGAGATTTTTATGTCATCGGATAGTCCTCGTTGTCTACTTTCGAAAACAGTATTATTTATTCAAATTCTGATGCTTTTTCATGATTTTACACAGGACTTATTTATGATGTTGGAATAAAAAAAAATGAGTTTTTTTTTTTTGAAAATGTTAGTTATTTCTCTTCTAGATTCAGACTTTTAGACGCTGTACAAGTCTTCATTTGATCTGCTATAGTCGATAATGCATGGTAGACTATGATCGATGTGTTTCTTCTACTGTTTTACTAAATAGAAATATTGATTTTCAATTACAGACTTTATTTGGCATTTTTCAACTTGTGTATTCCAAATTTCTCAGCCATTTTACATACTAAGAAATTCAGAAAGGTTTTAAATTGAACAGAAAATTGTGCTCTACAACTTAACTGAACTGGATTTTTTATTTTTGAGAAAAATAGATCTTTTTCCTAAGGAGTATTCCTTTTTTTCGAACAAAACTCACGCCAAAAATTGATAAAGAAGAATTTGAAAAACCAAGTTCTGTTAAGTTGTAGTGGCTATATTTTGACGTCAAACTCCAGATCTATATCAATAGATGTTGGGGGAAATCGGAGACATACAATGAGCTACTGTCGGTCTCTTAATGTAGGAATAACTCTTGAAGAATTCAATATTTTGGGTTGAAATTTTTACTGTGAGTTTTCTAGGTCCTGATCCATATTTCCTGAGATTTGTTGTTCTGGAACGAAAATAAATTTTTGATGGAAGGGGAGAGGCACAGTATGCATCTAGGTAGACATCTGCCAAAAAATGAAAATTGCACTTTTTCAATATTTAAATATAGTCTATCTAATGATATAAATAACTTTGTTACAATCCTCAAAGAAATTGAAAAACCAGTTACCCAAAAATTAACCTGAAAATCATGATAACTGCATCCAATGATATATAATACAAAACAATTATGAAGAAAAAACAATTTGTCAAAAAAAAAGAGAGCAAAAGCCTCCCTGAAGCATTTTTCGTCGAAAAACTTTTTTTTTTTTGAAAATGCTTTTCTACGTCATATCCAATTATTTCCAAACACGAAAGTTATATATCTATTTGACATACGAAAAATACACAGTGTTGGGGAGAGCTTTAAAGATCTACTTATAAGCAAAATAAAAAGCACTCTATTAATATACACACAAAAACAGAACATTATATGTATGTTTTGTTAAAATAATATAGCTACAAATACAATATCAAACGTACGACAAAATATGAATGACAATTGACCTAAATAATAAATAAAAAAACAAAACAAAACTCAATCATATGCACATGCATAATACAAGCTAAAATTCTCCATGTCAATTCAAAACGAAAAAATTCAAAAAATTTTTTTTTTCTAACAAACGGTATAATATAATTAATACCGCGTGAAGATTAATAATACTGCAACACTAAAAAAGAATAAGTTTTATTTTTCATAATTTTTTTTTTTTCGTTTTTTTCATTTATAAAAACAAAAGAATAATAAAACTTTTCCTTTTTTTTTTGTTTTTTACATACTTCTTTGGAACCAGGATGATCAGGTAATTCTAATTCACTAACATGTAATGGTTGTCCACCACTATAAGGCATGAGTACAACTTTATCACCCACAACAACCTATAAAATTTCATTTTCGATAGAAAATAATCAATAAAAAAACAAAAAAAAAAGATATACTCTTTCTCCTTTTGTACGTAGTTTATAAAAAGGTTCAATTTGAAACCATGAACCTTCTGTGCCACTAATATCCAATGAAACACGCATTGCATTTTTTTCCAAAATAGCTGGTAAACGTTTATTAACAGTTATATATTTATTACTTTTTATATGAAGTAATTGTACAATAGTATCACCATATTTAATAATTGTTCCAGTTTGTTTTCGAGTTTCAGCTTCATTTTGACGTTTTTCTGTATCAGCAGCTATTTGTAATTTTTTTATATCTCGAGTATTATTAGAATTTTTTAATGCATTCCAATATTGGGCTTGAGCACTATAACGATGACTTGGACATATACGAAAAAGACAATCTATTGCAAAAAAAATAAATAATCATGAATTTTGTAAAAAAAAAATTCTTTTCTTTGCCTCTAAATTTTTTTGGTGGTTTTTGTAAATCACCAGATTCAGGTTGCACAACACAACGATCATCAACAAGTCTATTGAGATTTATTTATAATATTTATACAAAAACAAATAAATAACCATACCCAAGTGTACTTATAAAACCACAAACAGTACCTTCAGCATATAAAGATACTGTATCACCAATTTTGAGAAAACTTGACGTCAAACTTGATTCCATTATTCTATATTGATGTTCTACTTGTTTATCTATAATATAATGAAAAAAAAAGCTAATGTTTTATTTATAACATATAATATTCCTACTGGAATAAATAAATAATCATCGATCTTTTTTTCTCACATTATGACCGATAAAAAAAAAGCCAATTTATTAATAAGGTCAGATCTCAATAATAATAATAATAATAATAAAATTTTTATCTCAAATGAATTGCGATTAATTCAATGTTATATGCCAAGTGGTTGATGTCGATTTATTATAACTCAGTTTTTATCATAGGAATAGAAAATAAGAGATAGAGAAGGGGTTATATAATGGTATTAGTTAGTTTCCTCACATTTGTATTCAGCTTACTGTTGAAAGAAATAACACGGGCAATCATCTATATATATATATATTCTAGTCTTCATATTAATGTTATACGTAATTACTGTCTAGAGAGATTGCATGCTGATTTTACTGACAAAATATAGGAGTAAATATTAAGACCTTTTTTTCTCTTTGACATAAAACAAATGTACTGATTAAGGTTCCGGAAGGCTCATTTTGTCGTCTCTATACAAGCAAAAAAAATGTTTTCCTATGTAATTTAGTACATATGTCAATAATCAAGTAGTCTTAATACATATATATATATCCGATCAGTTAGTCAGAAAAACACCTGCTGAATATATGATGTATACATATACTTATCCTTTCATTTCATCATAGAAGAAAAGAACAGATAATAGAAAGAAAATGATATTTGTTTTTTTTTTTGATTCATCATAATATAGACGTTTGGTCTTGCGTTTTGTTTTTTGACTGTACCTTTGATAATCGCCGAGTTCGAATTCATCGACAATTGTCATTGTCAATTAGATAGGATATTAACATGGAATGCATTGAGGAAAGAAAAAAATATATCGAAATCTAGAATTATATATATATATATCAATTATTATCGTTTTCTACATTGTATATAAAGCTCAAGAAGCAAAATAAAGCATTTGAAATTGTAAGAAAAGATTTGTTAGTTTACAAATTAATAAATGACTTGTTTAAAATATAGACCATAAACTATAAATTATCAAAAGTAAAAAACAAAAAATGTGTCATTCATTAAGCTTTGTGTTGATCAAATTGGTCGACAGCTGTGATATGTCTTCTTTCATCAAAATCCATAGGGAAAATGTCACCTGACTTCCGAAAAATAGCAATTTTCTTTTAGCAATCTGTTACTTTTTCTTTTTTGTTTTTAGCACTTACATATTTTTTCTGTCAGCTTTTATCTGCTTACAGGCATTATGTACTTAACATTCCATTGTATTGTTTTTTTTTCAATACCATAAATAAATTTGAATGAATTGATGCTTTATGATGTATAGATGATATTAGTCAAGCGTCAAATTACGGAAATGAATATTATTATGCATTATTATCCTATTCATACAAATTTGTTAGAATATAAGTAGAGGAAAAACAAAGACTGATAAAAAAAAGTATTTTATTTTTCATATATCTATAGATATAAATGGATATATTTCTCTATAAATTGAATTATTTTTATCAGATGCCAAAAAATATTGTTATCAAAGTAAATATATAATCGAAGAAACAAAAAATAAGATAATATCTGACACAATATAGACCAGAGAAAAAAAAATGATAAGCAAATACAAGACAATATTATTTATCTGACAAAATTTACACACAAGTATTAGTTTTGTAATCCTATTCTTTTTTTTGGTTTTTCAATAGATAAATAAACGATTTGATCGTGTATATTTCTTGAAAAACTGACGTCCATCATCGGTCGGTGCCGAAAAAGCCAAATCAACACGTTTAATAACAATACCAAAGAAAAAATTTGTTCTAAGAAAAAGAAAGATGAGCAAAAAGTTTAATTTTTTTGTCAAATAAAAACTAAATATACAGTTATTCCTATCAATTATTCAAGATAATATTACTACAATGAAAGTATTGTGATAAGAAGATCATATCTCAATATTAAATAGTATTCAACTAATAGCTTAATGTTATTTCAGCTAATTTGAAAATAAGTTTATATTTTGTATGACTATTCAAGAATTTCTATTATGAATAGAGATTATGTCTGATTCGCTGAAATAAGAGAACTATTTTTTTTATTCACCCCTGTGTAACAAGTGGGTCATTACTAAATGGTCGCCTTTTTGCCTGTCATCTTTTCATCACCTAATACAAATTACCAGGGAAAAAAAATATATACCACAAGACATACTGAAAACAGCTGTACAATATACAAAGAAATGTTTTATCTTATATATATATATATATTCTTTCCTTTTGTTCTAAACAAAAGAAAAGACCAAAATTCTATTCGATAGATTTTTAGTACATAGAAATTTTTATTCTAATAAATAAAGATCTGCGAATTTTGTTTTTTGTCCTATTATTTATTATAGTCGATGATGTTCTATGCATAATTATTAAAAATTATGAGATTAGAATTATTTGTTAGTCAAATATGTTTATATCATTGAAGTGCATTATGTCAATGTTTCCTTAATGTATATGAGAAATTACGTTGTTTTATTATTGATCGATGACAATATCGCTCAACAACTGTTTATCTTTAGATTGTTGATGTTGAGAAATTACTTCAATAGAATTTTTATTTGATAATATTTTATCATATTCGAATATAATTAGAGATATGAAAATATTTTGTTTTTTGGAAGCATCTTATCACATCTTAAAATATATTGCCTTTTAATTTATGTCTCATTTTACAGCTGCTTTGTGTTAACTAATAGCATAAATACATTTCCTGATGAAAAGCATTTGTCGTCAAATGAATAGAATTTTCTTTAACTGATGAGATAAAAAAGATACAGTTCCATCTGATCGTTTATCAAAAAAAAAAACAATAATCTTGTTCGCAGTGATGAAAAGTAACTATTAGATTTTTACTAAAGAACGAAATAGCATGTAAGCTTAGACTTTCTTTATGAATTAATACATGCAATATGAAGTTATCCTTGACATATCGATAGATAACGCTACCTATCGATCACTTGATAATACATACAGTATTTTATAAACTCTTACTGTAGTCAAAAATCATTGAAAAAACTTTTCGTAGTCATTGATCGGACAAAACTTTGTCGTTTTTTTTGTTCATTTAAAACAAAAAGTGTATATATATATATATAAAATAAGCTTTTCTTTGCAAATTGTCGAATCTTTTTTCTTTCAGTACATACTATGTTTTGTTTTTAATAAACGGTCATAGGTGATGAAAAATGTAGTCATTCATAATGACCTATCGGTTTTTTTTTCAAGCTACTATTCATAGATTACAATTTGCTATGTTATTTGTTTTTTCTTTTTTATGTTAAGACCTAAAAACAATTATTACCGAACACAATCAAGTAATTTTGTTGCAATACGAGTTCGACGATGATCAGGATGTATCCATATACGAGCTATACCACAAAGCATTTTATTCATTTCAGTTTGTTTATCAATATTTGATTCATCATTTAAATCAAGTATATGAACCTTGAAAAGAAAAATTAATATTATTTTAAAAATCAGAACAAAAACTTTACTCGATGAACAATATGTGCAAGACAATAACCAAGAACAATATCAGTACAATCTTCAATATAAAAATATGCCTTTAACGAAAAAAAAAACAAATAAATGTAATCATCAAAACGATAGTAAATTTTGTTTTTTTTTTTTTGTTTTACTTTTGTTTCACTCCATAAACAATTAAATGGTGTTGTAATTCCTAATTCATTATCAATTAATTCTCTAACATGTTCAGCTTTTTTTTGTTCAGTCGATGGTGATGTACAACCAATCATATAAATACTTCCATCAAGAAATTGTTGTAATATATGTTGATGTTTAAGATTCTTAAGAATAAAAATAGAAATTCAATTTTCTTTTCAAGTATCATTCTTATAATACTTACACGTAAACGTATAGCAGAGGTTGTATAATTATGATATTTTGCATGAGCTGCTTTATCTTCAGCTGAATGGGGAAAATAAGCCATACCACAACGTTTACATATAATAGCATCAAGCATTTTTTTGTCCAGCATCCTGTTAGTTTAAATGAATATTTATACATTCATAGAATTAATTAAATTTTGTTGAAGATTTAAAGAGTAGTAGTACGGTTTTTTCTTAATACAATTTCGAGAAAATCACCCGAGATCAGTATTCGCCACTCTTAGCTTATATTAGACCGATAAGGAAGTCTTAGTAAGTCTAAAAAGCTTCGCCTCCGTAGTTGCGAATTATGATCATTTTACTGAGTTTTCGACCCGACTGTAGGGAATCAAAAGTTCAGTAAAACGATGCTAACTCCCTCATTAGCGGATATAAATTTTCTAGATTCTCATTTAATTTCCTATCGGAGTTGTCGATGTAAGACATGAATGAATTTTTTTTTAGTTTTGTTTTGAGTTCGTAATCTCGCCTTCAGTTGTCGGGACTAAAGCAAGTTTTGCGTATCATTTGAACTTAAAATTCTAAATAGAAATCTTAATCGTTCGAATGTATATTCATTAAAATTCCATATACTAAATTCTATTAGAAAAATCTTTATTTACAATAAGTGTTTGTTTGAGTTTTGGTTCGTCATCATTATAAACTTTACGTGGTTGCTATAACAGAAAAAAAGAATGACATATTATTGCATTAAATATATTTTATAAACAATGACTGACATTTCTAAGTCGTTGTTTATAAGCTTTTGTTTCTTCATCATCTTCTTCTTGTTCTTCTTCCTGTATTAATGTTTTTTTTATAGATTTAGCTTTTCGTTGTTGTAGTTTTTTTGCCTTTTCTGGTGTTCCAGAAATTGTCATTGTTGTTTCATTATGCCATGATGGTGTAATATTTTCATCGTCACTACCACTACCTGTTGTTTCTGTTGCATTGAAATCTACTGCAACATAAAAAAAACAAACGCATAAGGTTGAATTTATTGATGTGCCCTGGAGCGTTTTATTAAACGTGAAGGACACAGTTTACACGTTACGCATGGCGGACAGACATGTAATTTTCGTTCTCGAAAATGGTTTTTTTGTTTCTACGCAGAAGTTATTGCACTATCACTCAGAAAATGAAGAATTTTTCAACGAAAAAAAGTCCTAAAGGAAATTGTTGTTCACATTCTTTCAAGAAAATATATTCTGTCATATATTATCCTATGTAAAGCCAAGGTTTTTTGGAAAATTTGCTGTATGATTCAGAAGCATTTATGCCAACTGTTGTTAAAGCTCATATCGAATTCACAAGGAGATCTCGATAACACCAGAAAAATCTGGAAAGAGGTCGTACCCATAGGGTTTTGGGGGTGAAGTTATGACCATCTTGTTGAGTTTTCGATCCAGCTTTAGGTATTTACCGAAAAATCAAGTAACAGTATTTCGATCTAAAATTTCGCCTATAGAACAGGTCGAATGACTAGTAGAATGAATGATCATGTTTTGCAAATTTAATAACTCGACAAAGGAACATTATTTTCGATTGAAATTTTTAGAATATTCCTACAGTCATCAGATCTATCTATGGGTAACATTTCAGTTCGAAATTTCGTTATGTAACTTGGCTCAAGAGATTTATGGACACGAACTATTTTAGGACTTTTCTAGTCATTGCCGAGATCTTCTTGTGAATTCAATATGAACTCAAATGGTAGGCATCAGTTCGAGTAGTACTCTCGTCAGCCGATCGGCTTACATTTATAATTAGTGCTCAGGACTACGCATTCGTAACTAAGACATTTCGAAAACTTTTTTTTTCTCTCAAAATTATACATTCAAATGAAAAGAGGTCTTCAAAGATCGATACGAGACAACATTCAGATTCACTCTACTTTAAATTCGTACACTATGAGAAGACAAAGAGGCAGTGTTCTTCGAAAAATAAAATAATGATTGTTTGAATATTTATACTTACATGTTTTTGTATTTGGTTCAACAACAGTTGTTAATTCGTGTCCATCATTAGCTGCAACAAAATATTTTCTTAATTGAGTTTGATGTAAAACTTTTGATGTTGCAGGTGATGATGCGTCCATTGATAGATATCAAAGAGCAAAAAAAAAAGAACACAAAGATATAAAAAATCTAAAAACAAACAGGTTGATGTGTTTATTTTTAGTATGAATTCGACAAAAACGATCTAGCTAGGGACTCAAAGATATCCATAACTATATATTTTAGTGTTTGCAAAAATGATTATACTTTTTCGTGTAAAAAAAAAATAGTTTTGTTAATGGTATATAAGGACTAGGGTTGTTGCGTTTCCTATGCTTGTTTTTGCTCTTTTCTCGATGCAAAATAAGTACGCATGGCATTAAGTGCTGATCCAGCTTTAAACCATTCAATTTGAGGTTCATTAAATGTATGATTAAGTTTAATTGTTTCAGTTCTACCATCTGCATGTTTAATACGACATTCAACAGGCTAGAAATAAAGAAAAACAAAACCAAAAAAAATAAAATTTTCAATTTTCATATAAAATCTACTTCATTCGGTGCTAATTTATTAAGACCAACTATTGAAATTTTATCATCTGGTTTTATTTTGTCATAATCACTTGGATTATCAAATGTTAAAGCAAGTAAACCTTGCTTTTTTAAATTTGTTTCTAAAATAATAAATAATTAAATAAATGTAAAAAAAAAAAAAAAAGCAAAAAAGAATGAAATTTTATTTACCATGAATACGAGCAAAACTTTTAACTATAATGGCACGACCACCAAGATGTCTTGGTTCAAGTGCAGCATGTTCACGACTACTACCTTCACCATAATTTTCATCACCAATTACAACCCATGGAACATTTTTACTCTTTATATATAGATAAAAATAAAATTATTCATAGATTGATATCAATATTTGTTTTTTTTTTATTTACCTTATAGTAACGTGCTACATCGGGTACTTTACCCCATTGATTTGTTAAACGATTTTTTATATTATTTGCTTCACTATTTTCTTCATTAACAGCTCTAAAGATAAAAATAAAATCTTATTGACATTCAAAATAAACATAATCGAAGAAGTCAGTTGTTGACTAATCAGATTTCGATGGCCTAGGATCTTCTCTCTTGAATGGTGAAAACCGTAGGTCTCTATATTATTCCTATCAAAAATTTATTCAAAAAACAGTCAGACCCATTGCTTTTTTTAAACGAGAATTGACATCATATGCAGGCTATTACTTGACAATTCATTTCACTAACGAATTAATCTAATTGATATTGAGAAATCTTATGTAAAATTGAAATATTTAGAATTAGCTATTACCCATGTAAAAAAAACAGCCTAAAAATCTGATTTAAATTGATTTTTCTGCGAAAAATCTGGAAAAATCGATTAAAAGAAGCAATTTTGATTAAATTCGTGTAAAAAATTGATTATAATCGATTTACCATAGCTAAAACTCGATTAAAATCGATTATTCTTAGAAAATTCAAAAAAATCGATTAAAAATCTAATCGACTTTAATCGATTACTTTGATGAATCGATTAAAATCGATTATTTTCAAAAAATCCGAAATAATCGATTAAAAGTCTAACCGATTTTAATCGATTATTAGTAAGAGTCGATTAAAACGAATTTTTTTATAAAATCTAAAATAATAGATTACAAATCTAATCGATCAAAAACCATATCCTTTTTAAGAAAATAGGAATTATGGTTTATAACTATAAAAGATTTTATATTTAAGGAACTTAATTGACGGGCGTTCTGCCCATGTAAAAAAAACAGCCTAAAAATCTGATTTAAATTGGTTTTTCGGAGAAAAATCGATTAAAAGGAGCAATTTTGATTAAATTCGTGTAAAAAATCGATTATATTCGATTTAACTTAGGTAAAAATTGATTAAAATAGATTATTTTTAGAAAATTCGAAATAATCAATTTTAATCATTTAATGCTAATAATCGGTTAAAATCGGTTATCTCTAGAAAAATCAGAACAATCGATTAAAAATCTGATTGATTTTAATCGATTATGCTGGTAATCGATTAAAATCGATTATTTTTAAAAAATTCGAAATAATTGATTAAAAAGCTAATCGATTTTAACCAATTAATGCTGTTAATCGATTAAAATCGACTATTTTTAAAAAATTCGAAGTAATCGATTAGAAATCTAATTAATTTTAATCGATTAATGCTGATAATCGATTAAAATCGATTATGTTTAGAAAAATCAGAAGAATCGATTAAAAATCTGATTGATTTTAATCGATTAATGCTGGTCATCGATCAAAATCGATCATTGTTAGAAAATGCAAAATAATCGATTTACAAATCTAATTGATTTTAATCGGTTAATGCTGGTACTCGGGTAAAATCGATTATTTTTAGAAAATACAAAATAATCGGTTAAAAATCTAATTGATTTTAATCGATTAATGATAGTAATGGATTAAAATCTATTATTTTCAGAAAATTCGAAATAATCGATTAAAAGTCTAATCGATTGTAATTGATTAATGCTGGTAATCGATTAAAATAGATTATTTTTAGAAAATTCGAAATAATCGTTTATTGTGAAACAGAATATGAAAGGATTGTTGATATAAATGGGGTAGAAATTCAGCGCGTGACCTCCCTTCTCCTCCTCCCACACACATACATCCAGAACATTGGAAATAGGGTTTGTACCCGTCACGGACCATGTGAGACAGGTTTACGATTCAGTGCAAACCGTGAGATCCGCCTTCAAGGAACTCTCAGGATGTATGTATGAGTAACATTTAACTGGAATATTTCGTGAGTGTTTTCTTTTTGAAATTCTTTGGTTCAAAGCGAAGAGTGACAGAAATATGTCATAATATATATGGAATTTTCAGTTTGCATGATGTCAATGAGAATGGGTTTGGTTGTGTTTCACATTTTATTTCTACAACGATTGCGCTAACTACTTTTTTTAAGGAACCCAAATTATCGATTAAAACTGTAATAAATTTTAATCGATTTTAATTGATTAATCTGGATTGTAATCGATTTTAATCGATTATTTATGTAATTGCGCAATCTCAATTGATTCAATTTATATAGGAGTTCCAAATTTACTATGTTTGTAGAGCTGAAGCCCTATGATAATTTCGAGATGAGCTCTCGAAAAAACTCATTAAAAAATAGGGTTCCGTGTTCGAATCTCGAGAAAAGCGCTTATTTTCGATGCTAATGATTAAAATCGATTAAAATTTAAAAATCCATTAAAATCGATTATCCAACACAAATCAATTAAAACAAGATAGAAGGTAAGAATCTATTAAAATCAGATACAAGGTAAGAATCGGTTAAAATCAGATGTCAAGTAAGAACCGATTAAAATTGGATGCCATGTCAGAATCGATACAAATCCATTAGGAATTAATAATCGATGAAAATCGATTCGAACATATCGATGTAAAAAATCCCGGAAAAAATCAGATTTTAATCGATTTTTTTCTGATTAAAAATCGATTTAAATGGCACGATTTTAATCAGATTTTTAATCAGAAAAATCAATTTTAATAGATTTTTTCGATCGAAACCATGCCATTTAAATCGATTTTTAATCAGAAAAAAATTGATTAAAATCGATTTTTCTGATTAAAAATCTGATTAAAATCCGATTAAAATCGTGCCATTTAAATCGATTTTTAATCAGAAAAAAATCGATTAAAATCTGATTTTTCTCGGTCCTTTTTTTACATGGGTACTTATAAACATCATTTCGACTGTTTATGAGAGTAATCTCAACTTTGGTAGAAATGTCGACGGAGACTTCAGCATGGTTTCTGTTTTTCTATTGTATATATAAAAAGATGAGTAATTTAAATTGATTTATTCGAAAAGAAACGGATGAAAGACAACTAAAAACGTTCTCGATAAATCAATTGATCAATGTCAATTAAGTTATGTACTAGATTTTGATACAAAAAAAGGACAGACGAATAAGGATGTGGAAGAAGATGGAAATGAGATCGGTTCGATTCGTCGATGTCATCAAAATATAATTTTTAATGCATTTCTCAGTTTATTATGAGTTTCAACTCAGTTCATAAGTTTCCAAAAAAAATAGATCGGTTCGGTTCGGAGCCAGAAAAACGCAAACCAATTTCATCTCTGTCAAACATCCAGACCTACAAATTTAGGTTTTCACTTTGAACATTTTTACTTTTCATACTGTTATTTCCATCAAACTTTGGACTATATGTTAAAGGTCATAGTTTTATTTCTTATCTCGAATATTCTTTATATTATTTACGTATTAAAAATAATTTGATACTACATAATGGCTGAAAATTTTTTTTTTCGAGAAGTATAACTTGTAAAAACAAAGAGAACTAAAAGTGAATTTTATATCAAATAAAAGTCCGTCAAAAACAAGATTTAAGATTATAATACGTTAGAGAATCACGGAATGTTTTAAAATCTTACGAGTATAATTGAATATTTCCATCAGCAGTCAAGTCATATAAAAATCAATAATTCTCAGAAAATTTATTCGTCTATCAGACTTTGTAACACTAATCGTTTTAGTAAGAAAAAAAAAAGTAATTTGACGAACAATCTCTCATTTAATTCAAGATTTTATGATCATTTTCATCCAGCCTTAAAATTTCAATATAGAATGTATTTGACAGAGAACTTCATTAGCTATTCAAACGTTGAAGTTCAATGCATGGTATCGTAGGAAAAACAAAACAACAAAAATACATTAGTATAATCCCCCGGGGTGGATCACATCGTCATGAATTCATTAATCATATAGTCCTGCGAGACGAAACTCTATTTAATCTATTTCATAGATTCATATGAAAATCAATATAATTTCTAAACATACGCAATAAACATATTGTTTGAAATATTATCTAAATGTCCACGATATTTTAACCATGGTCCAGCGGCACTAATATGATCCGTTGTACATTTTCCTTTTATTTTAATAAGTATTGGTAAATCAACTAAATCTTTTCCATCCCATGTTTGAAATGGTTCAAGTAATTCTAAACGAGTACTTTTTGGATCAACATCAACTTTAAGCGATGAACCATCTTTTGGTGGTT